ACGTTGTCGCGCGACAGGTCAGCAACGGCGAGTCTACATGACACTTTAGAGAAGTTTGTGTTACATGCAAACATCTAGCCAACAGATCATTCAAGTGAGACAAAGAAACATTCGACCTAAAAACAGAATAAGATCTGAAGTTAAAGAATGATAATTAAATAAATGAACTCACTAATTTGCATGCTTGTTAGCTCTCTACTTTGCAATCAAACATTTTGACTAAATTAGTGGAGTCCACTATGATGACATGACCCAGATCAATTTTAGACACTTTAAGGGGCCACTTGTCCAATCCACGAATACAGCCAAAATACGGCTCTTGCAAACACAATTATTTTCTTATTTATAGTGTGAGGAGCTAGACATATCGCTTGAGGCAGCTTGTTCAATAAATGTGGCTACGTGAGAGAATTCAAAATGAAATAATACAGCTGAAAAAGCATACTTCATTTTGGGTAGAAAACAATTTCATTTATCGGTATGTTTAAAATAAGGAAGGAAATACTGTGTACCAACATGGCCACAGCTATAAAAATGTTTAAGGATTATTATTTGAAATGATTTGCAGTTTAGTTATTTCAGGTATCACTTTTATCAGTGGGTGCCCATTTTTGGAAGGACACTCTCCGACTAAACCTTTCTTTCATTACTAGAAAACATTAGCTTCTAAAATAATCCACCAGAATATTAAGTACATTTTATGTGTAATAAACCCACATGAAGCTTTTTGGTAATTTTGTTTGGATTATGCAAAATGTTAAGGACAATGGCTGGGTTTAAATGGGCTTTGTAATGAGGGCTACAGACAATTTTGATAAGTGTTTCTTCTGCTAAGGACAATGGCAAAGCAGAGAGGCACTTATTCTGTAAAAGTAGCAGGAGATTTAAGGTAGAAAGGGTTTGAGTGGTGTGAATTTCACATAGAATGAGCATGCTATGATTGAAGGTAGCAAGACCTTCTTTTTCTCAAATAATGGATTTTTTTTCACACCATTTCCGATAAAGTGACTAAAGTGATTTTGTTGTTTGTTTTGTTAACCTGTCACCAAGATAATAGTGACACTGCTAACAGATGCCACTGGAGCTGGGTAAGGGCAAAGTCCAGACAGAGACTTCTTGGATGTTGCTATCCCCATCTGGTTTATTTTGAGGACTGGTAGTGGTAGACATCTCTTTTTGGCAACAGGCGTTAATGAATGCCAACTGCTTGTAACTTAAGTAACCTAGAAATTCAATTATTTATGTAGCGTTTCACATTTTTGACATTTACCTGACACTCCTAACCACAATTAGACATTGTAAGTGAGTTGTCTTGTTAATGTGAGGTGGTCCAAAATGTAACCAGAGTTGTTACTGTTGCACTGCAGAACACATAATTCTAGTGCAGCCAATTTCACAAAGTTTGGCAGGAAAAAAAACCCAGTCTATTCCAGACCCCTCACAGCAAACTACTTGTATGGCTCTGAAATGAAAAATATAAATAACACATAGCTCAAATAAAAAGAGCAAAGGATTGAAGCTCAATGAGAATTTCAACAGAAAACAAGCCTATGCAAGATTGCTCAGTGAACATCCACTATTAGATTTTACGGGATCAATGCAAAATAAGTAATTTAGGAGTCTCTTTTAATTTGAGCTCTTTTTTCAGACTGAATGTGTACCCAGTTTTGTCTCAATGCACAGATTTAAAGTACATCTTTTCACAACATTCAGTGTGCAAATTGGCTAAATCTACCTGAATGAAAATGAGGGACCGTATTTGTGTGTCGGTGTGTGTGTGTGTGTATAGCTGAAATTGTAGAAGACTCACACCCCATTGCAGCCTGACTAAAGCATTTGCTTTTAAAAACAAGAGCTGCAGTGATCTCACTCTGCATCAAACATAGATAGGAGAGAGAAAGAGAAATAGAGTAAAGAGACTGAAACAGTGAAGAGACAGAGAGAGGAAGAGCTGTGCGCTGCTGCATTGAATGTCTTTCCACATTAATGTTCTGCCTCACAAAATGAATACAGTTTACAGCATTGAAATATGCTTTAGACTACAGGCACAATAACAGAGGTGAAAGTAAGGGGGGGAAATAAGAAATGAAAACAACTCATTTCTATACAAACCACATATTTTAAGAATATCTGATTTATTTGAGCCAGTACCTCTGATGGG